GTGAGACATAATTTCACAAACAGTGTGAGTGAATCACCGCGCGCTGCTCTCTTTCTCTAAAATGCACAAATGGCTTCAAATCACATCGCGTCTGCACAATAAGCGAGCTGCACGCTGTACAGTTGACACAGGAATTGTCACTTGCACAATCGAGGCAGTGTTGCATCGTCACTAGAGTTTATAAATCGCATTTCTTTATAATTCTTGCCTGTGTTTAAACCATTCAGCGCTTGCGTGCTCTCCTGGAGACCGTGCGCTCATGCACACTCGCAGCGCACACACATAACGCCTTAATATTAATACAACATAAACATAATATTACAACTTATATATGTACAAGATGACGCAGTTATTGCGTGCTATAGTCAGAATGTGTGATCCTGTTGTGGATGCGCTCTTCCCATAACAACACGCTGAAACACGGCAACTTAACCCAAAGAACGTTTTATTATAATGTTCTCATTAGAATGCTATATACACGACATTCCCAATCATAGTTATTAATGTTGTGCACTGCTGTTTGAGCTGCGTGCACTGAGCTAAAGATGTTCACCGGTAAACTGAAGCGCTCTTTTAACTTAACCAAAGGCATTCTATACAAGATAAATCAGATATACATCAAATAAACACAATAATACAACATACAATTGCACAAAAGGCTGCAAACGAACAGCGCGCATCTGAAGTGTCTCTGAAGGAAATAATGCATTATTTATCGGCTTTAAGATATCGGCAACATTTTCTTATCAGGCCGATACCGATAACAGAAAAAATGAGCATTTATCGGCCGATACCGATATGGTGGCCGATATATCGTGCATCCCTAGATAAAACGGTATCGATAACGATATAAAAAATGTTCGATATAGTGCACGATATAGGCACGTGCTATGAGTGACGCAGACAGCACACACAAACACAAACATGAGTGCTGTGCCTGTGATGAGGGGATTGTGAGTAAAGAATGAATATTAGTAGAATTTAAAATAAACATTTGCATTTGAATGCAAAAATAGTACAATCCAATGTTAGATGTGCGTCAGGGAACGTCATCAGTGGAGCACGAGATGCGGTGATGATGATGTAAGTGACGTTGTAGTTTAATGTTTTGTTAGTCTAGCCCACGAGATGCACAGTTGCTGTGTTATTTATTCAAAATATTAGAGAAATATAGAAGCTCAATGCGGAGAAGATCTTGATTAGGTTAAAACCGAAACCAAGCCATTCACACAGAACGCATATTCAGCGCATTTTCTAGACGGACAAATACGACTGCTGCACTCGCGTCTCACACAAGAGATGTAGCCATGCAAAGTTAAAACAGTTTAAACTTTTAGAAAACACGTCACGAAGGTTTATTGGTTTATTCCTTTTCACTGCGTCTCATATGTTTTTAAAGGCAATCTGTGTGAAGGGTGATTCGGCTCTTTCAATGCATAAATGCATAAATACATGATGCTGTTTTGTTCATAATTGTTTATGCAACTACTAACATAAAAATTAGTTAATTTAGCGCAATGCACGGTTTTTTATAGACAGTTACTTCTTTGAGTTGACAATTTAATGTGCTGCATTATTTTGCTCATTGCGCCTATTTAATCTGCATATACTGGTGGTGGTTGAGGAGAGACCCACCCACATGATTGTAAAGCGCTTTGGGTGTACAACAATACACAGTAAAGCGCTATATAAATGCATCATTCATTCATTCATTCATTCATATAAAACATTAGAAATGAGATATTGGTTTAATTTTTATTTTGTTTTTGACTGTTAAAACAAAAAAAATATTTGTTGTTTGTCTCAATAAATTGAGTTAATTTAAAAATACAGTGGTTTTTTAAAAAGGTTATAAAAATTTTAAATAATTATCAATACCGAACGATATTTAACATTATATCGTTGATACATTTCTTAGCTATATCGCCCAGCCCTAGGCACAATTCATATTTCTTCATTAAATAACAAAGTAATTTGAATAAGTTTCTGTGAGACATAATTTCACAAACAGTGTGAGTGAATCACCTGCTCTCTTTCTCGCTCAAAATGCAAATGGCTTCAAATTGCATCCCGTCTGCACTATAAGTGAGCTGCACGCTGCACAGTTGACCACAGGGATTGTCACTTGCACTATCGAGGCAGTGTCGCATCGTCACTAAAGTTTATAAATTGCATTTTTTCTTTTTAATTCTTGCCAGTGTTTAAACCATTCAACGCTCGCGCGCTTTCCTGGAGACCATGCACTCATGCACACTCACAACGCACACACATAACGCCAGGTTCACATTACTTTGTTTGCAGTGCGTATTTTTTCCCGCACTCATGTTAACGGATTAAAGCGTTCACACTGCACACACGGTTGCAGTCTGGCAGTGCGTTTAGGAGCGGTGCGTCTGCAGCAGTGCAGAGATCGTTTCCACACCGAGTGTATTTTTGCTGCACTGCACGCGCTGCATTAAAGTAACAGAGCATTGTTTGCGGTAAATATGATCATGCATTGACACAAAAATGTAGTAATTACATACATGATCAAACATTTAGGTGAGATAAATATAGATTTTTGAAAAATGTCTAAAAAATGCCCCCCTCCACCCCTCAAATGAAAAAACAAATTCTCTCACAAGAGTCACCTAAGAGAAGTGAAATTCAAAATTCAAAAATGAAATTCAGGCCCTGAATAAATGTCTACAAATCTTTATTGGATCATCACTATAAATAATTCTACATGATAAAATGAAGGTTTTTAAAAGATCGGTATCGGTGATCGGATCGGCAGATACTGCTTTCTGTGATCGGAAATCGGTGATCGGCCTCAAAAATCCTGATCGGAGCACCCCTAGTTTATATTTAAAAAAAATTAATTGAAGTAGAAATATTATTATGTAATTGTAACTTTATTATTTTAAAAACTTCATTAAGTGTAATTTTAACAAATCCGTCAATTTTAACCTTCAGTATTATAGTAATGTAGTACCAACTGATTCTCATGTATATTTTTACCGGCATTAGTTGAGAGATTTTTTTCCTTGAGAAAATTTGGCATGTACTGTACCTTATATATATCCAAAATAATCGATATTGAATCGAATCGGATTGGTAATCGAATCGAAAGCTTGTGAATGAGAATCGAATCGAATCGTGAAATTTGTGTCAAAACTAGGGGTGCAAAAAAAACTATATTGTCAAATAAAAATAAAGAAAATAAGAACAAATAATCGAACTACAAGCAACAGCACAAATAAATAAACAGTGAAAAAAGATACAAATAAAATAAACAGTACTTTTCAGTGTTTTTAGGTAGGTCTAACATAGTTTTTAGGTACAGAAATAAATCAAATGTAAAATAACATTGCATATTTGACTGTATAAATTAAAGATTAATCCTTATTAAAGTTACAAAAGTTATTCAATCAAGAGCAGTGAGAGATTTCCGTGTTGTTGCTGTTCATTATGCGTATTTTTTCCCGTATTTTTTCCCGCACTCTAAAGCGTTGATTAAGCACACACGGTTGCAGTCTGGCAGTGCGTTTAGGAGCGGTGCGTCTGCAGCAGTGCAGAGATCGTTTCCACACCGAGTGTATTTTTGCTGCACTGCACGCGCTGCATTAAAGTAACAGAGCATTGTTTGCGGTAAATATGATCATGCATTGACACAAAAATGTAGTAATTACATACATGATCAAACATTTAGGTGAGATAAATATAGATTTTTGAAAAATGTCTAAAAAATGCCCCCTCCACCCCTCAAATGGAAAAAATAAAAATCCTCTCACAGGTCACCTAAGAGAGGAATTAATTTTCAAAAATGAAATTCAGGCCCTGAATAAATGTCTACAAATCTTTATTGGATCATCACTATAAATAATTCTACATGATAAAAAGTAGGCATCGGTGATCGGATTGGCAGATACTGTTTTCTGTGATCGCGATCGGCCTCAAAAATCCTGATCGGAGCACCCCTAATTGTTAATAAAGTTGAATACTATATATATATATATATATATATATATATA